TAACCCTAAAATGCTAGTTGTGACATCATCCCCCCGTTAGAGGGAATTTCATCCCGAAATTCTTTTGAAAGTTATTCTTAGGAACTAGAGAAAAGGCGAGGGTACTTTTGCATCATTTGATCTTCACGTTCCGATGTGAATTCCGGTCCACGCTTTGCGTTCCATCGAACCTTCACAATCGAAATGCGTCTTTGTTTTGTACGCTTTACCTCTTTATCCATGATTTCAACCGGCACTTCGATGAACAGGAGATACTCGTTCATCTCAATCTCATCCAGGGGAACAATGAGGGTTTCATCTGATAGGAAATTTTTCATATTTAACATGTGGAATACTGGGTGTACGTTGTTTAGTTCGTGGGGTAGTTAGAGTTTGTAGGCCACCGGACCGATCTGGGCAAGAATCTCGAATGGACCGATGTACCATGGGTTTAGCTTGCCCGCCTTCCGAATCATACCATCCCCTTCGAGGGAAAGACTTTCAGTAGTACGCGATCACCTACTTGGAATTCCAAAGGATTTCGCCTTTTATCACCATAGCTCTTTTGTCGGTCTTGCGATGCTTGGAGTCGTGCCCTGATTTGAACTATTTTCTTTGTTGTTTCCCGAACGATCTTAGGTCCTGTAAGAGTGTTGTTCAGTGTTTGCCCACTTGCCAACTGAGTGTATACCACCTCAGCCCAACAAAGAGATGATCTGCATGTACGGCCATACAAAGCTTCGAAAGGAGCCACCTTAATGCTCGTGTGATAGTTGTTGTTGTACGAGAGCATGATTAGGGGCAAATGGGTATCCCATGCCTTGCCAAAATCTATTACACATGCTCGAAGCATATCTTCTAAAATTTGAATGGTTCGCTCGCTTTGGCCGTCGGTCTGGGGGTAGTAGGCAGTACTCATATCGATCTGCGTCCCCAGTTCCTTCTGGAGTGACTGCCAAAATCGAGAGGTGAATCTACTATCTCGGTCAGAGATAATGGATATCGACACCCCATTCAGCCTTACCACTTCTTTTATGTAGATTCATGTTAACCTTTCCGTCTTGAATGTCTCTTTTATTGGTAGGAAATGGGTGGATTGGTTAACCGATCGACAATCACCCAGATAGTGTCCAATCCGTCTGTTGTCTTGGGTAATTTGGTTATCTAATCCATGGTAATCCTTTCTCATTTCCACTCGAGTATTACTGGCTATTGTAATAGTCCCGAGGGCATCTGATATTCCACTTTAACTTTGGGACAAGTGAGACACTTGCCCACATAGGTGGCAATTTCTGCTTTCCTATTCGGCAACCAATAATGCGGTTTGATGTCCAGGAACATCTCATTGGAACCTGGATGAACGGAGTATCGTGTTTTATGCGCTTTGTTCATGACTACAACCTTGAATCCTCCAAAATTTGGGACTCAGATACGTTCCATGAAGTAGTTAGCCCTGTCTTCTTTTACTTCAAGATTCTTCTCCATCCCACGCAACGCTTCATTTGCAGCGTTATCCGGTTTCAAGGCCTCCAATTAAGCCTCCTTGATTTGTGAAGACGAGTGGGAATGGATGGTCATTGTTAATGTTTTCACTTGGCAGCCCGAGTATTCTTTTATGATTAAAGCATTGGCCACTACGTTAGCCTTTCCTAGATGGTACTTGATCTTGCATTCATAGTCATTCAGTAGCTCAACCCATTGTCGTTGCCTCATGTTCAATTCCTTTTGATTCAAGATATGTTGGTAGCTTTTGTGGTCTGTGAAAATGCTATACTTTATACCGTAGAGGTAGTGCCTCCATATTTTTAGGGCGAAGACCACCACTCCCAGCTCGAGATCATGAGTGGTATAGTTTACTTCGTGGGTTTTTAATTGTCTGGACGCATATACTATCACTTCTCTGCGCTGCATCAGCGCACAACCTAACCCTTGGTTTGATGCATTACAATACACCACGAAATCTTTTATTCCCTCTGGTAGAGACAATACCGGAGCACTGTACAGGGCTCGCTTCAGGGTTTGAAAAGCAACTTCCTGTTTGTCACTCCAGTTGAAGGGTACACTCTTTTGGGTTAGAGTAGTGAGAGGCTTGGAAATCTTGGAGAAATTCTGCATGAACCTTCTACAATAACCAGCAAGGCCCAAGAATTGTCCGATCTCCGTTGGCGATTTCAGAATTGCCCAGCCTTCAATAGCCTTGATCTTGGAAGGATCCACATGAATTACTTCCTCACTGACTACATGACCCAAGAAATCCACACTGCGAATCTAGAACTCGCATTTGAAGAGTTTTTCATATAACTTTTCAGCTCTAAAAGTTTCCAAGATCTGACATAGATGCTGACCGTGCTCCTCCTTACTTCGAGAGTATATGAGTATGTCATCGATGAAAATAATTACAAAGTTTTCTAGGACTGGGCGGAAAACTCGGTTTATGAGGTCCATAAATACTATGGGAGCATTAGTCAAAACTAAGGTCATAACAACAAATTCATAGTGCCCATAGCGGGTTCGAAAAGCAGTTTTGGGAATATCTTCTTCCCGGACTCGCAACTGATGATATACGGACCATAGATCTATTTTGGAAAAGTAACTAGCTCCTTGATGCTGGTCGAATAGATCATCAATCCGAGGGAGTGGAAATTGGTTCTTAATGGTGAGTTTGTTCAATTCTCGATAGTCGATGCACATTCCGAAGGATCCGTCCTTCTTCTTGACAAACAATACTGGAGCTCCCCATGGTGAGAATTTCGACCTAATGAATCCTTTGTTTAATAGTTCACTCAATTGACTAGATAACTCCTGCATTTCGGCAGGAGCTAACCTGTAGGGTGATTTGGCAATTGATGTGGCTCCCGGTATTAGGTCGATTAAAAGTTCGACGTGTCTTTCAGGGGGTATTCTCAAAAGGTCTTGGAAATACATACGGAAAGTCACATGCCACTGGGATATCTTTTATGTTTAGTTCATCTTTTGTTTTATCCACAATATGAGCGAGGAAGGCATAATTTTTCTTATATAGGCATTTTTGTGCCTTGATGCACGGGATAAGACAGAGATTAGCGGCAGGTTTATCAATGTAGATTATTAGGGTTTCGTGGTTGGGTAGGTGAAGCCAAACAACTTTCTCATGGTACATAATGTCGGCATGATGGGGGCTTAACCAATCCATGCCTATAATAACATCAAAACTTCTAATATCTACTCGCATCAAATTGATTTGAAACGAGTGATTATTTAGTGTTAGAGTGCACCCTATGAATATATCTTTTGTTGTTTTAGTTTTCCGATTAGCCATCTCCACCGTGAAGGCTTCACTTAGATTTTTGGGTTTTTGGTTTAGTAAGTGTCTGAATTTATTACTCACAAAACTCCGCTCATCCCCACTGTCGAATAAAATGCATGTGTAAGTGTTGTTGAGGGGAAACGTACCGGTTATAACGGTCAGGTCTTGAATTGCCTCCCCTTGTCCCAAAGTTAGGATCCTGCCTGATCCTCCTTCACTCTGAGTGTTGGCTTTGGGGCAGTTTCACCTAAAATGGCCAGTTTTCCCACATCCATAACAAGTATGACTGGCCCCAAGTTATTGTTGTTGTTGTTGGGTTGTTGGTTCTGTTAGGGTTGAGATCTGCAGTACCGGGCAGTGTGCCCCTTGCGGTTGTAGTTGGTGCACTACACTTGCCGTTGTGGTGGTAGTTGCATTTGTTACATTTTGGAAAGGTTCCTGCATAAGGCTTGGTAGTAGTTTACAAGGATGAGGTTGGAGAAGCTGGGGCTGGTGCAACTTGAGTGGTAGCAACGTGGACTGCTACGGTGTTCTGCTTTTTAGAGGATACCTAGTTATGTTGCCGCTTTCATTTATTCACCCCATTCTTCTTGTTATTCCCTTCCTTCTTGGCCTCAGTCTCATCAGTTTTGGTACCTTTCTTGTTGTCGTGATCATAAAGCTTAGCCGTTTTGCACTATCAAAAGTCTCAGGGTTCGCTGCAATCACGTTTACTTGAATTGGAGGCGTTAACCCCCAAATGAATTGTTTAAACTTCTTTCCCTCTGAAGTGATCATACTCAGGCACAACAGTGCTAATTCACTAAATCTGGAAATACAAGCCTCGATATCTGAGTTTTGCACTGTGAGGTTCCATAACTCTTGTTCTAGTTTCTGTACCTCCCCACGGGGACAGTACTCTGCCATAACCATCTCCTTAAGTTCTCCCCAAGGCATAGCATTTGCGACCGAAAAAGTCATGGCCTTCACATGACCATTCCACTAGGATAGCGCTTGCTCAACAAATGTGTAGGATGCGAACTTCACCTTGCTTTCTATCGGACATTTGCAGATTTCAAAGAGATACCCGGTCATTTCAATCAAGCGCTTCAAGGCTATCATGCCACCAGTTCCATTGAATGTTCGAGGTTTGGTATTTGATAAATCTTTGTAGGTGCATAATTTTGTAGGCCCTCGGTTCATTACTTGGTTCGATCTTCCAGTTCCTTTACCATTTCCACCACCATTGTTTCCATTATGAATATGAGCCAATGTTGTCGTGACCGTAGCCGATACTGCTTCCTAGAAAGCATCAGAGTTTACCTTCGACGGAGGCAGCAGTGGTGGTGGTGTCGTATTGTTTTCTCTACGTATCGGTCATTGAGGCATCTTCTGTCATGGAACAGAAATATGGTGAGTACATAGTAGTCTATGGTTTTGGGTTCCTTTGGCATATAGCAATTTCGGTGGTTCAGTTGTGCATAAAGGCGAATTTAGACAATATCATGAAATAAGGAAAATAGAACACATAGTAGATAACAACATCACAAATAAAACATAGAACCATTTCATTAATGATGAACTTCGTAGTACAATGCATGAAAATTCCCCTTTGTAAGGCTTACAATACATAGAGAAAATAAAATTCGTCAACATAACGGCTCTATGAGTGGTGTAGTCACTTAATCATAGAGTCGGTCCTTATTACAATAGTACATGAAAATAGAGAGGGTCCTATCGATAAGGGTGGTGATAATCAGATGCTAAAGTGACGCACCCGAAGCTCGACCAATTCACTCATCTCACGAGTTATCTCATCCTCCTTTTGCTCTGCCCGAACTGCCCTAGCTTCAGTCGTAAAGAGTCGCGGCTTCAAGTTGGCTACTTCTTCCTCTAGAGAGCATATATAGTTAGTATTCCTCCCCTGCAATGTGTGCTCATCTGGTATGATTCCTAAAGGGTATAGTTCACTATGGGTTTCCTTAATGTCATCTCCTTTCTCCGACTCCTCGTCAAATTCACTATCCTCATAGTCCAGCTCCATATACTCTTCATGTCTAGCTTCAGGATTTTATTCTTGAACCATTTCAGGTTCTCCTTCAACCCATCCATTAGCCACCAAGTCCTGGTAGTAGAGGTCGCCTTGTGGAATTTCAGCCATGGTGTCTGTGCAAACATGGAGGCGTGAGAAGCGTGTAGAAAGTATATGTGCGACAATTATATGGTATCCAAAAATGCTCGTATAGTATTTTAATTGTTGATGCTTGAGTTTCTTAAAACTTTTTGTATACGAGGTTGGTAAGTTTCTAGATTCGTTTCCCACCATGATCACTCCCAAACACATGTTGGTCGTATTTTGAATAAATATAGTTGATCAGGCTATATATATCCCCAATACGACTACATAACTGTCTGGGTTCAACCGTCATTTTCAGTTCCTCCAAGACTTTTATTGGTTCTTTTCGTGACCGTACCGTAAAATGCACACATAGGTATGTATTTTATTCTTGTATGATTAGATATGATAGTTCACTATAAACATTGCTCTGATACCAATCTATCACACCCTCGAACCAGACGGCGGAAATGTTCAGGGGTTGGTGACTTCATCTTGTAATATCATCACAGTGTATATAGTTGAATCAAAGACAACATCATCATCACACATGAAATATAACAACCATCATAGCTTACATAAGTGTGTTTGTTTACAAATTACATTCCAAATATTAAATGTATGATGATAACAAAAATACAAAAAAAATCCACGTGTTCTTGATGACCAACCTGCTTAACGATTCCCTGAGAATACAAGTTATTTTGAAAACGTCAACATATATAACGTTGGTGAGTTCATAAGCGTGTTTGTATAAAAAGTTTTGTATCATTTGTAAACACCAGAAAATCCGATATTTTCTGTAAAAATGGTTTGAGAGTTTTGTTTAAAATCTTGTATTAAAGCATGTGTGTTCTTGTTTTTGACAGTGAGTGTTCCTGAAAATCCGATATTTTCTATATGATGAATAAAGTGTAATGTATAGAGTATGTTTCCATGAAATTCGATATTTTCTGCTTGTAAAAGAGTTGTGGTCTTAAAACCCTAAGACGCGAGTAGTATAATAAAAGTATAATCCATACAATGTATTAAGAATATAGTATATGTATTCCGTAAATTTACAGTGTTTGTTAATCTCTATTTGAGGTTTTATAACCATGCTTGATGTGACTGATATTCCTGTCATGAAGCTCTTCAGGCGTTTCTTGTTTAAGGTAAGATATTTGCCACCCTAGAGTGGCCTAGTCTGAAACTACAAGACTTACGGTTGTACACTAGGTAGGTACGGATGAAGGAACGTCTCACAAGAGCCTTAACTAAGCTTACGCGAGTAGTGTATTACATTATTTACCGTTTTAAATAATGTTTCGAGTATGTATTTAATTAGAAAACATTGGTGATAAAATACCATTTGTTTTTATCAAAATGTCAAGTATTTAATGTTATTAACCCGATTAGTATAAAATGTGTTGTAAGGCCCGATAAGACGGTGAATGGGGCGTATAAGACCCAATAACATGTAATAAGAACATAAAGCCCAATAAGCATGAAATGACTATGTAAGCCTAGTGAACGTGTAAATGAGTATACAAGGCCAATTAAGCATGTGAATAGGTATTTAAGCCCAATGAACGTGTAAATGAGTATACAAGGCCCAATAAGCATGTAAATAGGTATTTAAGGCCCAATAAACATGAAATGAATATACAAGGCCCAATAATCATGGAAATGGGTAATTAAGGCCCAATAAACATGTAAATAGGTATTTAAGGTCCAATAAACATGTAAATACATATTTGAGGCCCATTTTGATAAAAAAAAAATGACATTTTCGGCCTTTTTTTTTTATAGAAATGACATTTTCGGCCAATTTTGTTAAAATGACATTTTCGGTCCATTTTTGATAAAATGACATTTTCGGCCCGTTGAACAGAGAATTTACATTTTAGGTCAATCTTTATTCAAAATGACAATTTAAGTCCATAAAGGCCAAAAATTACATTTTAGGCTCATGAAACCGTGAATTTCTAAATAAGGCTGATTTTTATGAAAAATGACCATTCTAGCTCATTAAAACCGAGAAGGCCCAAAAGGAGCCCATTTTGTCAAAAATAACTCTTTTGACCCCTACAAAACCGTGAATCTCATAAAAATCCATTTTTATCCAAAAATAACTCTTTTGGCCCCTTTAAAACTGTGAGTCTCATAACATGGCTCACATTTTGTTTATTTGTCAAATTTGGCCCCTTATGAGGTTTTATTTAGTTTTCAAGTATCCGTTAACATGTTTTATACTTTCAACAATCATAATGAGTTACAATAAGTAACTTGTTTTGCTAATATTTTGAAGTCTTGAGGGATATATCGATTTTATGAGGGTTTTACACATATTCATAACATATTTGCACAACATATCATGAAAATACACACAAGCATGCATAAACACTTAAATTTAACACAAAACCAACTTGTATTCTCCCCCAAAACATGGTAAAACCGAACAAAGGGGTTTGAAGCTCACCTTGGGTGACATATCGATTTTTGATGAAGAAATGAAAGAAAGTGAAGGTGTTTCGGTCTTGGATGCTTCTTGAGATGACTTTTAGGATCCTAGAGAGTTCTAGTAGCATGATCACGAAAACAAGGTGTTCATGAGGAATGATCTAGCATAAAATGGGATATAACATTTTGAATACGAAGTAACTTACCAAGAATGTGAAGCTTGAAGTGATCTTCTTGAGCTAACCCACACACAAACTCACGAAACTTGATGGAATGAATGGATGAGTTTTCTTGTGCTAGAGAAGGAGAGTGTTGGAATCGGTTTGAAATGAAGATGGTGGTGGGGAGGTGGCTTTGGCCGATCTTAAAAGAAGAGGAGAGAGAGAGAGAGAGAGAGAGAGAGAGAGAGAGAGTAATGTGGTCCTTGCTTAGTGTTTAATCTTCTAATTGTCTAGATGTTTGTTAGGCAAAATGCATGGATTACCACCATGCAAAACTTAGGTGTCATCAAGTTTAAAGTAAATCAATTTTTTGTTTATCTATAACCGAGAATGGAGAGGGGATGAAAGAAAAGAACATTAGGCTTGGTCTGAAGATGCATCCAAAAACACATTAGCCCAGTAGAGGTTTTTCAGTCCATTGGGCCCACATATCTGTTTACAGCCCAAAATGATAAAAGGAATGGGTTTTCAGCCCAATAAAGCCCATGAAGAGTCTTATGGCCCAAAAATCTATTGCTTAGTTAATGTGGGTCTAACTAGGGCCCAAATGAGGTTTCTTAGCCCAAAAGAATCAAGTTGAGGGTTTATTGGTCCATTAGGCCCAATAAGAGGATCCTGGTCCAATAAGAGTTTGAACCGGGAAGTTAGAGTTACAACCCAAAGATGAGTGAATGTAGTGCATTGAATTAGGTTTGGAGCTAGTGAGGTTTGATTCGAAAAAATGTTTTTGAATGAATAACATGTATAACATCATACTTAGGGTTACAACATACATCAAAAATTAGCTATGCATGAACAAAATTTCCTAGCCCTTAAATGTTAGTTGTGATAGATGACCATGCCAGTCAATCATGCTGAGAAACCTGAGAAGTTCTCCAAATGAACTTTAAAAGGTGGAAGCAAAAGATTTTCTTCTATCTTACCACATTAAATCTTGCTAGATTCTTAACTGAAGAGGTTCCTCGAATTCCCGAAAGAGAAGGAGATGTGCAAGCTTTAACTGCTATTGATGCTTGGAAACATTCTTATTTCTTGTGTAGGAATTATGTTCTTAATGACCTTGTTGATTCAATTTATAATGTTTATTGTGTAACTAAGACAACCAAAGAGCTATGGGACTCATTGGACAAAAAGTATAAAGCTGAAGATGTCGGGACAAAGAAATTTATGGCTGCCTGATTTCTTGACTATAAAATGGTGGATGGCAAACCTATTATATCCCAAGTCCAAGAACTACAAGTCCTCCTACATGATATGCATGCTGAGGGTATGGGATTTAATGAGTCTTTTTCTGTTGCTTCCATGATTAAGAAGCTACTCCCTATTTGGGTTGATTTCAAGGATTACTTGAAACATAAGAGAAAGGAGATGTGCGTTGAGGACCTTTTGTTTGCATTGAAATTGAAGAAGACAATAAGATAGCTCAAAAGAGTAGTTATACTCCTACTTCTCAGAAAGCTAATGTGGTGGAACATGTTCAAACTTTTGGATAGAAAAAATCTGGAAAGGGAAAATCCAAAAGAAAGGCAATGCATCAAATTTAGGAGCCAAAGGTGGAACTTTTAAGAAAAAGTTTCAACGGAACTGCCAAAACTATGACCAACGGGGTCATCGGGCTACAAATAGCAAGCTTCCAAAGAAGGCTAAGAAGGAAAATGTTGAGGAGAAGTGTAACATCCTGATTTTCAAGACAAAAAATTTCGTTTTTAATTAAGTAAATTATAAAATCATTTACGGAAAACATCTTCGATATCAAAATAAATCCATCAACCATCATAACATGTCTAAAAAACATATCATAAAATAGTAATAAAAATCAAAGTACAATCCCATAGATCTCAAAGTGCGGAATCCTGTGTAAATGTGGCGTGCAGCTACCGCACCGACTCCTTCCCCTTTGCTGAAGAAGTACCTGAAACAAAATTGAAAACTATAAGCACGAAGCTTAGTAAGTTCCCCCATCATACCACATACCATACAATAACATAACATGACAGGCATATCTGGGTGCCGGCCTCCCCTTCGGTCTATTTCAACCGGATAACTACCTAGCATATTTGGGTGCTGGCCTCCCCTTTGGTCTATTCCAACCAGATAACTGCCTAGCATATCTGGGTGCTAGCCTTTCCCTTTGGTCTATTTCAACCGGATATCGGGGACTATTTCACCCCTACCACTATCGTATAAGATCATAACATACTGGCACATAGAACATAAAAGATAATGGAATACCAGACAGTTATCACACAGAAAATAATGTAATTA